ATCAAGAAGTTATAAAATTTTCTAAAAAAAAACGCTGAATTTTTTGACCGTTTTGGTAAAAAATGTAGATTTTTAAAGTAAAAATATTTTTAAAGCAGTCGACGTTTAGTAAGTGGGGTACAATGATTACAACTTGGCAACATTGTAATCGCTACACTTAACGCGCGGTAAACTCGATCAGCTTTGAGAACTGGAATCGACGCGCACAGTGCGGCCAAATCCCGAAATCCTGGCCAAAACCTCAATAAATGAATTTTCTAAATGGGTACTTTTGAGCAGTCAGTCAGGTAGAGGACTAACGGATGCATCCATTGTGGAAGAGTAACCGTTTTTGATCGTATACCTTCGTCGCTCCGTTAATTTGAAGTTAGCCTTCGCGGAGAGTACAAGCATCGCGCGCTGAAGGAACGAAAACTAGGGTGACTTCTAAAATCAATATTTTTCAAGTGAAGTGTTCAATTTTAATTCTGAGACATGGATACGATTTCTGGAGGTATGTAGAAAATATTTTTACATTGATTGAGCTCAAATGTAGTGTGTAAATGATTGAAATGTAGTATAAACTCTTGCATTAATAAAATTAAAGAATTTGTAAAATTTACATTTTCAACTAATCGAAAAGTTATCGGTTCCAACTGGTTCCGCGAAATCCAAAGTGTCGGCTTTTAGTTTACTTTATCATCTTGCGATATGAACAAAAATCAGCTGCCTAGAGGTGCCTACTCGATTATTATCATGTTTTTCACATAGTGCGATTGTCGACCGCGCACACGCACGGCACAATAAAGCAATAAAATCCGGCTCGAAGTATTAGTATAACGCCGCGGCGCATATTATTTATGTTTATGTACATATAAATATTGGTTTTATAAACTGTGGGTAAAAAAATAATTTGTTGATTTATAATATTAAAAAAGACGAAAGTATTCTTTGGGTGATTGTAATCAATATCTTATATAGATCAATCAATAGAGAAAAAGCACTTAATTTTTTCAACATGACCGGACACGTCAATGCAATTCTCAACTAATGTAATCAATAAAATCCATAAAGTCAGTTCATATATTGTAACTATTTTTTTATAAACTTTTCGGGGAAAAAATAATTTTGTTGATTTAATAATTTAATATTCCTTCGGGCGATTGTAATTAATATAGTAGTCGATCATGTCAGTTTGTATGTTATTTCTTTGAGCTGTTAAATATATCGAACTATCATATGTTAATCGGTTTTTTAATCGTATGTCTTAATTACAGGATCCACGTATGAAGAAATATCGTATACGAGGAAAGAGATATATTTATCACCATCAAACAGTATCTGAAAGAAGATTCAAAATCAATTATAAAAATTATTGAATAAAAAAAGTAAGAACAGAGTAAACGCTTAGTTCAGGTACCTGAGGACTCAAGAGCATCGTTTACAATGCTGTTCAATAAAATGCGGAACTGGCAGTGGCAAGCAGCTCGTAGGACTGAGGCACCCTTTTTGAAGAACAATGAAGAATGGCTCAGCGCGCCGGTTGTTTCTGTCGTACCTGCCGCTGTCCATACAACACCAGGTGAAAAAGGTGGCCGCCCGTCCAAGGAGTTTAAAACTTCCAGTGATAGGTCAAACCGAAGAAAAAACGACGAGTTAGCATACGCTACTCAAATGAGCCTTCGATCTACAGGACAATTAGACGCTTCAGCAGTTTTGAAAGAGATCACATCGACGAGTCCATTAAGAGCTTCTAAGTACCAAAGAGCTTACGGAGTAGCAAATGAAATTCCATTGTTCGAAGAGGCAGCACTTTCCGTTTTGGTCGAATATAAATTCTCAAAGAGTCAATACCAAGGACTAAGAGTAGTTAGCAAAGGAAACAACTCCAAATTATTTCCTCCTTACAAAGCAGTGATAAAAGCGAAAAAACTGTGTTATCCACCCCGTACTGCTATCACCATTACAGAGATTAGTGCAGAAGTCGAAGTACAGGCATTACTGGACCATACAATCGACCGTATTTTACTCGTCCAAAATGAAGTCATTGGAAGTTTAACACAACAGCATGTTCGTAAGTTAAATTTAATTTGCAAATGAGGTTGCGATGGGCACCGTGAATATAAGCAGACGTTTGCTGATAGTAACAAATCAGATACGCATGTATTCTTCACATCAGTTGTGCCATTACAACTCGTGACTATCGACGAAGAATCAAGGGAGCAAATCACTGTTTGGAAGAACCCTAGGCCTTCGTCTCCACGATTTTGTAGACCACTTAGACTACAGTTTCTGCGCGAAGACTCAGAGTCAACACTCAATGAAGTTCGAGTCATTGAAGAACAAATAAAGAATCTTCGTCCATTTGAAACTGTAATAGATGGGAAGCTCGTCTCCATCGTCTACAATTTGGCATTTACCACAATAACAACAGCAATAAAAACAGGAATAATAATAACAAAATTCAGAATAATTGTAATATTTAATAAATGTTCTCACTATAAATTGGATATTTGCTTACCTGCGCGAATAGCAATAATAAGTTCTTGTTAGGTTTCTTTAGGTACTTTTAAGGGTCTATTTCGCGGTATTTTCATCGGCTATTTTGCTTATAACAATTTCGACTTCGGAAACGTAATCAGCGAACTTAAAAACTCAATTATACTCATTTTTGACAAGATCTGGCAACTTTTTCACTTACATGACCGCCATATTGGATCGGCCATTTTGTCAATAATAAATTGAACTTCGGATTCGTAATCAGTGACCTTGAAAACTGTAATATACCAATTTTCGACAAGATCTGGAACCTTTTTTACTTGTATGGCCGCCATATTGGATCGGCCATTTTGTTAATAATAATTTAGACTTTGGATTCGTAATCAGCGACCTCAAAAACCCACATACACCAATTGTTGTTAAGGTCTGGCACCTTTTTCACATCTGTCTCCGCCATATTGGATCGGCCATTTTGGTTATAACAATTTAGACTTCGGATTCGTAATCAGTGGCCTTCGAAACCGCTGTATACCAATTTTCATTTCGATCAAAGTTTATTTGAGGTTTTGGCCAGGATTTTGGGATTTGGCCCCACTGTGCGACGGTTCTATTTGAACCAAAACAAACCCTTTGTAAGTATTAACGTAATGTAGGGTTAAGAAATTATCAAAATACTTTATTACGCATTTTCATTAATTGTTTAAATTAGAATAATAAAAAAATTAAAAACCATTTATTTGTTTGAAATATCTCTTTGACGGCATTTGACATATTGCACTAAAACACTAAAAAATTAGTATGAGGAAGTCACAAATTTCTATAAGCATACATTCACTTGATAACCCACCATTCATATATTTGCGACTTTGCCGGATGGATTTTACTTGAAATAATAACGTATCCATATATAAGCTTGCATGTGTTGTGTACAGTCTCTTACAAAAATAACATTTTTTAGCATTGACAATCTAGAACTTTTGGTATTCACCATTAAGCGATATTTTTGTGTACGACTGTCGCGAGTGAACTACCTTAATAATCATAATTAAATTGATTCATATAGTTGTATTTAAATTTAGAAATTATTTATAATTATAGACGAAATAAAAATAGAAATGCTATATTTAATCTCAATAACTAAAAAAATATACTGACAATTAGTTTCACAGAATTGTCATTTATTTAAAATTTGAAAAAGGCGGGTACCAAAATATGAACTGTGGATTTAATTTTTGTTGCAGTATTCTCACTACCTAGAATGGATATCAAATATATTCGTTCAGTTGAACGCAATATCATACTTTTTCGTTTTGTAGTTTGTGCGTAGATAAGCTTATATCCATGTGGGTGTAGAAAAAAATATGTTTAAAATAAATAAACAGCAACAGTCGTATTTTTCATTTTTCATATTTTTTCATAAATAAAAAAATATTGCTTTTAACAAGAATTGAAGCCGGGTCATGGAATCCACAGTCGAACGCTTAACGACCTGATCCATGAAGGCTTATGTCAAGTTTATTATCTTATCAAATAAGTAATAATAGAATTTTCTACGAGGGCTTTCGTAAGACGTCTTTGTTGGGCACTTCACCACTGCAGGGACTGCAGCAAAGCATTTCCACGTTCTACCAGGTAAGAATAAATGAAAAATGTTATCTTTACATATTCAGTGTTATACAATTTACTTTTGCTATTTTGATTGTTTCCATTATTGTATTGTAGCATTAAAGCTACATATGCCGAAGCTGTTTGTCGGAGAACGTCACAGCTTCGAAGTTAGAAAATTAAATGAAAAAAAAATTGGTTATAGGGCGCCACTGGATTCTATAGAATATTAAGTTCTAGGCCTATAATCCAGAGAAGCCTAGGAGTTCTATGAACTAGGTATCCTCTGTACAAATATATATTTTGATAGGTCTTTACGTATTTGTCTAAATAAAAACTCGATAATTTACTATTTTATTGAACAATAGTTTTCAAAATATCAAATAAGAACAGGAAAATGACAGTCTAGACTATATTGCTACCTACCTAATACAAGTGAATCTATTTTTCTCTATTGGCCAATTGACACAACAACTAAGATTTATTTTATGTAGGTAGACTCATTTACTGTAAATATCTATTCAAAAATGTTGTCTGGACTGACTGACTAAAAAAATAACTATCCAAATAAAAAAATATTAGGAGCTTATCTGTGAAAGTCCACAAATGGACAGAGACACATATGTCGCCCTAGCTTGTCGGCTTGACTCGCTTCTTGAGACTCAAGTTAGCCGATGACTATCGCACCAAGGGCAGGGACGAGGAATGAATCTGAATGGGCAGCACATTATAAGTTTCCTCAGCTTCTCGAGGTTGACTATAGCACCAAGGACAAGGATGAGGGACGAATCAGAACTGATAGCACGACTATTCAAGTTTCCTCAGCTTCCAAGTTGAATTTGATTTACATCTAATCCACGAAGATAATTAACCAAAATCGAAATGGATTGGAAAAATCGGGAACCCCAAGTTGGTATCTTACGCTAACCAACGTTATCCTGAAAAACAAAAAAAGACCTTGCCTTTTACCTGATCTGTCCGATATTGACGTTCCTCGATAAACGATGAATCGATTTTTATAAAAATTTATCTCAGTAATGAAATGAGTATCCGTTCTCTTCATAGGTAAATAAAACTATTGTATTTATAATAATTTGTTAATAGATCTAACTATTTTGTCGAAACAAACTGAAACAATTACTAATTTACACATTATTATACAAGCATACATAAATACAAATAACATTAAATGAAAAAAACTGAAGTGAATTATAATGATTAATACTAAATTAAATAATATTCTTGTTATTTAAGGTTTCCTACAGAAATGGAGCTTTTGGGAAAATGGCAGAAAAATATTACCAATTTTAATATTGTAAGTGCAGGAATGCGATTATGTTCAGACCATTTTGAGCTATCCTGACATTAATAAAACACAAACGAAGACTATGTTGGTAATACATTTAAAAATATTACTTTATATCTTTTTTACATTAATAAAAATATTACAAGAAATATAAATGTTTATTTTTTCACCTTTTCCCATGATTTCCTCTATTTCATTTAAAATATATATATATATAAATCAATATTTGCATGATTGTAAAAATTATCTAAAACCTTTAAATTTGTTCTTTATTTAAATGTAAATAGCATTCGAATAGTCTACACAAAATTTAAGTCATAACAGTATTTTCCTAGAATCGTACGACTGTAGAGATTGTTAAAAGTAATTTTATTTTAAACAATTATTGAATACATATATTTATGAGTTGCACAAATTTTGTCAATTTTCCTAGACAGGTGTAGATAATTTAAAATATATTTCAACATCTATATTGTTAAAATTAACTTTGCAATTATAAACTACATACCTACATTTACTTGCAAAATTCTTAATATAAATCATGTTCCTGAAAACACCACTAGATCAGTTCCAATTCTAATCGCTTTAGTTGCATGTATTCATATTGTTCTCTATTAAACATTTTCACAGGTATTGTTTAGATCTTCTACATCTTTGAACCATATTAACATCCCTGTTCTTCCTGGTTCCATTGTAACAATGGCAAACTCACCGATTCTCGTTTTATACTTGTTCCCTAAAGTGATTCGACCATCTATGTAGTTCTAGCTCGAGGCTGTTTTTTCTATTACCAATATCTCCTTTTAGTTGTAGTCCTTATAAGTTATAAAAAATTCCTAGTGCAGTTTTAAGAATTTTCCACACTATAGGTACTTTAGAACTGACCCTTTATCTGCTATTTATGTAGGTAGTATCGGATAGCATTACTATGATATAAACAATAAACGTTCATTCGTGAAGACACAATATGCTTCACGTTTCCATTTTTATTTTCTTTCGTAAAAAATCAAATTTGGGTGAATTGTCCCAAAAGACATCGCCCGCAAAAGAAATAGAAGAAGAAGAAAAACTAATAAAATTATAGGTTAGATATGTCAAATTATCCCACAATTTGTCCAAATCGGCCAGCAGTGTTGCACTTCCGGTCTCCTTGGTGGAACGGATCCTATCCAGTAAAATAATACAGATCAGTGATTCGGACATAATTTTCGTAAAATTAAAAGGTACCTACATAAAATGAAAAAGTATTTTCTAAATAACTTACAGATCTGAAAAGTTTTAAGAAGGGGGTCGAAATAAAAACCAATTTAAAAGTAATGAACAATTATATTCATGATTAATTTGTTACATTTTATTCAATCCATACTGTACATTTTCAATAAATAAACCAGTAAAAAAAAACAAAAAACGCATGTTTAAAAAATATATAAACATTCATTCTACATAATCAAAGTTCTATAAAACTAGAACTCTTATAGTTTTTTAAATACAATTCCTTTCTCGATATTCCCTCGTCAAAATTTAACACGTTAGTTATCAAACGGCATCAATGTGATGCCCCTCGAGTAATTCTAGATGAGAAATTTCGGAACGACCCTCTCCCCCAACCCCGTGTAACTGCTATTAACGCTATTATTAGGTACAAAAGGGACTAGATTTTGTATTTTTATTCAATCTAAAAATACGAGTAATCTTATCAACTAGAAATAAATATATTTTATTTTACAATTATTTTTTAAAAAAATCAACAACAATAAATTATAAAAAAAAAATAAAATAGATTAAAATTTTGTACTGCAGGTAATAATGTAAAAAAAATGGAAGTTATAGTTTAAATGGGAAAGATTTGCAGTCAACCAAATCAATATTGTTATATGAAATGTTAATTGACAAAAATGTGTTTCTGAAATCCCAACCAATATAAAACAGACTTTACTTTTTTGGAGCGACTGAATGCTTTTACATTTTAAGGAATGTTAAAAAATTTGTTTAGACCCATAAAGCACATTTCTCACAAAAAGACATCTCATAATTTTCCATCACAACAAATTTCCCTCGAATTAACTGATTTGTTTTTAACATTTGAGAAGCCTGAGCTGTATAAGTCGAATGTAGACTTGAAAACGGCCTTACCCAAAAAATCACGTGAAGACCTCTTATTTTCTATCAAAAACTTAACGCGTACTAGTCAGAGGCGAAATCTTTTCCTTCTAATCAAAATAATTTTCAGGTACCTTTACTTTTAAAACCTACAGTACATTTTTATGGAGAACACAATTTTAAGCATCTCAGCTAACATATTTCTCATTCATCCCTTAAATGACTAGAAACGAAAAAAAATAATATCAAAATTATCACAGAATATGAAATAAATTTAATTCAATACTAACGACTAAAGGCAACTCTTGGTAGGACTATACTGCAAGAAAAACCGATAATTATTATTTTAAATAACTTTGTATTCGGTTCAAGAATTAGTTTTGTATTTTAGGCTTTAAAATTAATTTTATTGTAGTCTACTATTAATCCGATTTTGAAAATGCAATATACAATTCAGCTTTTAGATTGGAATAAATTGAATTCTTACAAATTGAATCTTTAATGTCTAAAAGACTACACGATATTTACAGACTTCTTGAAGATTTTATAGAAAATGTTTTACAAGGATGTTCATCGAGCTTTTTTAATTTTAAAAATAAAGAAAATTCATGTCCACAATCAAATAATATGAACGACAGTCTATTTCTTTGGCTAATAGCACAACAGGCATTGGATTATACTCGAAGAAAACAGCAGAGATAGAAAGTTAATTTCAACAGTCTAATTTTGTTTATTGGTCGCGTGAAATTAAGAAGTGAGATAGTAGCACCATCTACATTTATTAAGCAAAATCAAAGCTGGCTAGTAGTACCGACTTTAAAAACTAGGTGGAATAAAAGCCAGACGAATTTCATTGGACATAGTTGTCAAGATAGTTTGTACTACGGTTACGTTAGCATCGATAAGTGGCAAAGAATATAACTTACAATGAAAAAAAGAACGTATTCTTGAAAAATGAATTCCCTAACTGTATTTAAGAACTGGAATTGGCGGTTCTGTTTGAACCAAAACAAACCTTGTATTACCAGGACATCTACGAACTGTTTTAGTAGCGTTTGAATCGTCGAGCATGTAGTAAGTAATTTTTTGCGCTAGATTTTTTGTTTTACATAATTTCTAGGATACAAAATAATCGTCAAAACTTTGTTCATAATTCTTTACCTAACTACACTTAATCATTGAAACTTTTTATTAAATAAATTACTTTTTTGTGTATCTATTACGGCATAGAAAGTTATTTTAATTTTTTGTTACTATTTTTTATATATAAACTTATGCAAAATGACGCATAGTGAGGGTGTTTTGAGACACCGACGTTACTTTTAAAATCGTTATTCGCGCGAATTTCGAAACGTCGGCCGGACGCGCTTTTTTTACACCTACATCATAATAGCAAGGTACGTTTGTCCCTTATACCTCCTAACCTCTACAGAAGAGAGCGAGCGAAGCTAGCGCGCCCGGCCGACGTTTCGAAATTCGCGCGAATTTTTACACCTACATCATAATAGCAAGGCACGTTCGTCCCATCCATCTCCTAACCTCTATAGAAGAGAGCGAGCCAAGCGAGCGCGCCCGGCCGACGTTTCGAAATTCGCGCGAATTTCGAAACGTCGGCCGGGCGCGCTTTTTTTACACCTACATCATAATATCAAGGTACGTTCGTCTCATCCATATCCTAACCTCTAAAGAAGAGAGCGAGCGAAGCGAGCGCGCCCGGCCGACGTTTCAAAATTCGCGCGAATTTCGAAATGTTGGCCGGGCGCACTTTTTTTACACCTACATCATAATAGCAAGGTACGTTCGTCCCATCCATCTCCTAACCTTTACAGAAGAGAGCGAGCGAAGCGAGCGCGCCTGGCCGACGTTTCGAAATTCGCGCGAATTTCGAAACGTCGGCCGGGCGCGCCTTTATTACATCTACACCATAAGAGCAAGGTACGTTCGTCCCATCAACCTCCTTACCTCTACAGAAGAGAGCGAGCGAAGCGCAACGTCAGCAGGGAGCGCTCGCTTACTTCTGTAGTGATTAGGAGGTGGGTGAGAAGAGCGAAGTGTTTAATTATCTCTCTCTGGTTCAAAATGATTTTTTTAATATTTGAAATATTTTTATTTTAAAAATAAAGAAAAAAATGTTGAACGCCGTAAAAAGTATCCACCGAGTAACGTCACGGTTCACATAGCAAAAATTGAAATAATTCAGCTATCCTCTTTATTTTTATTTTAAAAATAAAGAAAAAAATGTTGAACGCCGTAAAAAGTATCCACCGAGTAACGTCACGGTTCACATAGCAGAAATTGAAATAATTCAGCTATCCTCTTTAGTTGATAGAGTATTCTTTAAATTTGGCTTTAAATTTTTTTCAATCAAATAAATTCCCTTGTTTCAAAAAGTTTAAAAACTTTTGGATAACAAAGTAATTATGTTTAAAAGTTTTCGAAAAGTACATTGTTTATTACTTTATAGATGATGTAATTAATATTTAATTATCGTTTGCTACAACAATTCAATCAAAATGAATAAATAAATCGTCG